CCAAGTTTGGTGAGATCGTGAGGTGCCCATTCGACAGAGTGGCATACAGTCATGGAAAATGTGATCGGACTGTTGCGTGTCGTCCTCATGGGCCATGTCGAATATAGTTCAGTCAGTGACTTGGCCGTTGATATTCTGTTCCGACTATTTGTACCCGCTTTCTCTAACCCTTATTTCGTCCCGCCTCATTTTTCCCCACCATCGTTAAGGTTTGTTATCTTGAAACTGTTAGTTCCCTTTATTAAGTTGAAAAGCGCAGTAAGAAGATGAAGAGTGGCAAATGCACACTTCGTATTGTCTCATCAGTGCGTTTAACAAGAACCCGCAATAGTAATTATTCCGTGAAGCGTGCGACCAAACATGGTTGGCAGCATCCGGTTTCGGATTTGTCTGTCACTGTGGCCAGCCACAGGACGCCTGTGCCTACAGAGGGACCATGGATAGTTTGCGCTGCACCATCCACACACCTCATATCTAATGGAAACCCGGAGGAAAAAACCGGGAGGCATGTGGATGGGAGCCATGTTTCATCAACGGAGCCGGCCCACACTTCTTCACAGACAAACACAAACACGCTGTATTTGGGAATCAAGCAACCAAACAAACAGATCAACGCACAATAAGCGAGACAGTGTTATCATCCCTCTCCCCAGGGCAGTCTAATGCTGACCGGTAATTGTTTCTGAACACAACGCAGCGGTTTAATCCGGTTAATTGCAATCGGCTCTACGAAACGGAGGAGGCGAGAGTTAGTATACTGTAATAGGATTGTGAACGCCGAAGTGACCTCGACTATGTGACCTGTGGTCATAAGTGTGGGCCGATCGAAGAGGGTGGTGACATACGCAGACAAGCAGCTTGACTCCGGCCGGTTTCCTGCGCGGTCGAACGTTGAACCTATGCTCCTTCATTCGGGAACTCAATATCCTATCGGTCCTGCCTATGTAACTGGCGCCGCAGTCATAAATGAATTGGTAAACGCAATGCGATTTGGTCCCGATAGGCTGAGCCTCCTTTACAGAAGGAAGTAGCAGTTTATGGGTTTTATTAATGAAGATGACCTTGGAGGCATAGTAAATTGTCGGCACGGCACAGATCAGACGCCTTGTGGTCCTCAACGAGGAGACGTCACCTTTGAATGGCAGTTCAGTGGTTACAGGCTTCTTGGGTACCGTATGCACTAGGTGCCTTGATCGCACTAGACTATGTTTCTCGATGAACCTCCAGGGGTAGCCGTTTTCAATGAGCGTGTTGGTAATCAACTGCAGTTCGTCAGCCAGGCAATCAGCGGAGCAGATTCACCTGGCACGGTTAGTCGGGGTTCTCACGAGTGTCCACCTGTATCGCATTGGTTTGAAGCTAGTGAAATGCAGATACTGCCCAGACCATGTTGATTTCCTGTAGACAGACCTCTTAATTTGCCCGATTTTTCGGCGGCTGATAACGATATTCAGGTACAGGATGCAATTTTGCTTCTCTACCTCACAGGAGACCCGCAAGTTGGAATGCGCAGAATATAGTTGCGTTATCAACTGCTCCATCTGATGCTCCGATGAACACTGCCAAAATATCATCCACGTAGCGTTTGTAGTATGGCAGTCGAGATATTTATCCATACATACTTCGTTCTACCATTAACATAGAGAAATCGGCAAGTACCGGGCCCAATGGACTTCCCATCGCTACTCTATCAATTTGACAGTACGGTGTGTTTCTGAAGAGAGAGCTGACCTCTGTACACAAAACAACGAGTTTCTTAGCAGCTTAACTGGCATAGATAGAGGATACCGCGAACTTTCTGCTAGTTCACAAATGCAATCAACAGTTTGGTGCAGGGGAAGATTGGTAAACAGCGATTCCACATCTAACAAGCGCATGACCTTGTCGGATACATTAAGTATATCGAAGTCGTCGATAAGCTCCAAAGAACCTTTGAGGCTGTATAGATTGGCCCACTCTCGCAGCGGAAAAGGCAAGTTTACTAGCCAGCGAGATAGTTTATGTTGAGACGCGTTTACCATCGACAGTATCGTTCTGAGTGGCACCCCGCTCTTATATACCTTCGGTAGCCCGTATAGCTTAGGAGTAGTGGAGTCAGTCGGCTTCAAGCTGTCACACGTATCACTGTCAATCACACGATGCAGATGAAGCATAACTAAGTGACAACCTATGTGAGACTCTACCACAGTCACATCCTCTGCCCTCTCAAGTCGTTTGAATTTACTTGTGTCCTCAAGTATGACACACTTTGTTATCATAGCACGGCGTGCCTCGCGTCGTCGACAATAAAAAGTTTATTTGGAGGGTCAAATTTGGACTACACGTCGCGTGGTTGGATTGCGACGCGAAATCTCAATGTGGGCCGCGATTCCCATTGAAGTGAACTTTGGTCACTGCGATCACTGGGACCGTAGTCAAAGCAGATGGAAATTGGGTGTTGCCCGCCCGAAAACACTGCGCAGTGTTTTCGGGCGGGCAACACCCAATTTCCAAAAAGTTTATTCATTTAACTGTGTTTCATCGTCGTGGCCTTGTATTGCAATTCACTTAAGGGTTACTGATAAGTCCTAATTGTGCTCACTAGGCATTTATCGTGTGGGCTACACACCTCGGGAAAGAACGAGCAGCTGACGCTATGGTGCGAGATGACAGCGGTGCAATGCTTTTTCGTTTTAGTACGTTTAACACAGCCGCATAACGTCCACGCACACTATCTTGCACGTGATCTGAAAGTTAGACAGCGGTGACTGGACAGGATTCCGAGATTATTTGAGTGCATTAGCGGTTCAGTATGCCATGCCGGCTGATGCCGTTGGCACATTCGGTGCCACACCTATCGGTTTATCAGTGGTTGAAAGCCAGATAAACCCACTCTCCTAGTTCGTCAGCTTTGGGTTCGAATTGAGTGGCGCCGTTATGAGATGAGCCATTTTGTGAACCGCTGCCTCAATACAGCACACTGCGGTCAGATTTTTGAGCCGGAAACTTCGGATGATGACCACATCGTTGTTCCGTTTTTGGGCCGCAGCAGTATCACAGTCCGGATACAACAACGGTACCGCCATTAAGTTTCAACCCACTGCGTCAACCACCGCGTAGTTTTGAGAGGTCAGTTGTTGCACACAGTACAGTGGATAAGCAAAAACAGGCTACTACTGATGCTCTTCTCTCTTTTCATCTAGTTCGCTTACATTTTACATCTTCGCAACAAATTCTCCCGCATATCACAGTGCAAATGACAGCAGTCACAGTAGAACTTTAGTTGTTTTACCTACATTCACCACATTACAGTCACAAGCAGCCAACAAAAATTTTGATTTTCTTGGATATGATCATCTTCCTTTCCCCGAAACGAATGTCAACAGGTTCCGTCGCACGCACGCTTGTTATTTCACGTATTGTGCGTTAATTCCTTGAAGCAGGTACTTGGGACTCTTGCGCGGTTCTTGAATTAGTTGCGCATATGTTTAACCACAATTAATTTGCACTATATGGAGTTTCGGATTCATAAAACTACAGGGGAGAATCCTCGCTCGCTGATTCCAGTCCCATGAACAGCCTTGTGTCTATAGTCCTTCCGACGTTTTCGACTAAAGTTCGCGCGAGTAACAGCGCTGATACTACTCGCGTATGATTGCTGCGCATTTTCTAATGCCCCCTTTCCAAAATTGCTAGCTGTCACCAACTCATGCGAACCTGCTGAACGGCCGGCAGACTACGAGAATGGAGTTTGATGACACAGTCATGGCTGCGCATGATCAAACATGTTGCCAGGACACAAAAACCTGGGTGATAGAACGATCAATTTTTACTGAAAGGGTTGGTTGCAAGGCTGCAGCACTTATCCACAAAATGGGTAATTTTGTACCGAAATTAGTGTCGCCTAATCAAAACTCTAAGATCGAAAACCAAGTTAATGCATTCGTCCGGTAGTTAGGCATTAACCAGTCTGTCGGAAGTGATTTCAAAGTAGAAAATGAATTGTACCGAGTTGGAAGAATACGCTGTACTGTAGAATTCAACCAACAGCACCCGCATCTTCGACATCGTTGGGTCATTGCTCGTCCGAACGGATCTGCATTCATCTAATAAGTTAAGGCGACAAGATCGATGTACTTGGCGGTACATCCCAGAAATATGGTAGTCAAGCGTACAGGATTCACATGGACAAACGTTTTATGATTAAAATCAATCATCTGGGACTGGGCCATTGACAGACGGTTGGTTCAAGTAAGAATCTACAAAACACGTCTGGGGCGCTGAAAAGTGCAGTTGGGGCGTACGGCAACAAGGACCAAACAATTTCAGGCAAATGGAATGTGGCTCGCGAAATAGTGTCGAACGAGAAGCGTCATGACACCGTGCACACTATGAGTAATGGGATTATGATAGCAACTAAGCGCTTTTTCCTTCTTCGAATAATCACATAGTAGCGCATGAATAGTATATATTCGTCGTGGATGGAAGCCTCGAAATGGGCCACACAAATGACTGGAAAGCGTATCAGACACGGCGCAGTCAGTGGTGTTGCTACAGTCATTTTCTTGCATCTGTTTGTTAATTTTCGCTCTATTATGATTAGTTAAACACACTTTATACTTATTTCCATTTTTAGACTCTATTTACCATTAACCCCACTATCTTGCTATTGTTACCAATTGTTATTCTTACGATATGTCGTGACGACTGGATCCACCGGTGCTCGGGTCAGAGTTGTTCTACTGAACAGAACCGAACTGTTCACCCACAATTCTCCAACTTACGGGTTGTTTAGAACGTGAATTGGTAGTTAGAATATCTCATAAAGGAACAATGATTATCGTTTGACTAGAATGGCTAGGTAAATATGTTCGCGCACAATCTAGGATGCTGAAAGGGTGAAATGATGTGATCAAACAGTGGTTGTTAGTAATGTATGAAAGCAAGGGGGAAACTTCGGATAGTGCTTAGTGGGAGTATAGGGACGGCAGCATTCACCAGGTAGGTGGATGAGGAGATTGTCATTGCACATTGCAATCAACGGATGAGAGCCCGCGTTGTTTAAGAGGTTCGAAAGACTGTAGCAAGTGTGAAACTGCTCGTACCATGTACGACATTGTTCCAAAGCGACCAGCGGGGGGAGTATCGTAAAAGTGCTGACAGATGCCGTGTGGACCATGGCATAGTAAAGGTACCGGTTTTCGCAAGCCTGCAGCCACCGAGAAATCTGTGATGTTCTGATCCTTCATCACTCTGGCGCAACACAAAGTTGCATTGGCATCATATTTTACCTGAACGATCGGAGAAACAGAGTGAAATTGAGAGCGGGGATGTCTCGAGGGAGTACGATAGAACTAAGATTACATTGTTTATTAAGGTAAAAAACAGTTGGAAAATGGGAAACAAAGAGGGCAGTTGTGAGTAGATTTAGCAGACAAAAAACAGTAGCATGCCATACCGATGCTTCGCTAGCATATTCAATCACCACCAGTTACGCATGGTTTAAGGATACTGCGACGGTTGCCCGGTCCTCTTCGCAGACTCGGACCGGTGATGTCCGGGATTCAGAGTAGACGCCTTGCCCTTTTGGGCACCGGCCAGTTAAGCTGAAGTAGTTGTCTTCTATGTTAAAATTAACATGATCGTGAACGGGCTGCCGCAGCGAGATTTGGACCTTCATCCGTCCGATTCCATGGAGCCGGTTGCTGCTTTCGGCGACGTGAGAGTTACTCTTCCAGACTAGGAGTTCGAATCGAATTACGCACAGTTATGGGAAGGTGAAGTGGCTTTTGAACCAATGCCTTATTATCGCTGCGTAGCAGTTAGGCTTTTGAGCAAAGAGCCTTGGACGAAGACCGCTAGCAGATTTTGGCGCCATCGCAGTATCGCGTTACGCGTGTAGCCGAAACCTCCGCAACAAACCGTAACCAAGTGCATCAACCACTAAGTAGTTTTGAAGAGACCACTTCATTCGTCGCACAAAGCACAGTAAATAAAGGGAAACAGGCTATTGCTGACGCCACCCCCATTACCCTTCATCTACATTGCTATCCTCACAACTAAGTTTCTTCCTGCAGTCCGTAGTGTAAGTAACAACGGATGCAGTTTCCCTGTCGGCATCTGTGGCACCACGGTGTCAAGCAGTCTTTCGTCACAAAAACACTTGCGGGTCACACTTTCCGCGCACCAGGCACGATCAGTTGCAACTTCTCCGAAATTAGTGTTCGCAACTACCGGGCTACCTGTACATGAGGATGGCCCTAACAATGAGAAAAACAGACATCAAACAAAACGATGCTCCAGCCCAAAATTGCTCACGCACAACTACCGCATGTCAATCCAAGATTAACGACCAGTCCTAAACGCAAACCTAGAATGTCACCATGGGTAACGCACACGCTAACATGGCACTCACATGTGGTTTCGGCAGAGTGTCCGGCGTCGAAGACACAGTTAGGCACAGTATTAGCAGTACGCAAGCACATCGGATTGACGCTTTGCTGCGACGCGACCGCCACCAGTCGAGCGCGGGCTGGGTATACCGCGAGATGGCCCGCATCTACGTGGATGTCGAAGCAACACTATCAGTTCAGGTTTGGATGCTGGCTATCATTGAGGAATGAGGTGAGTCCACTGGAATCGCCTCCAGCGAGGAGTGAGATAAAAAGTTCGGAACCGATTACCCACTTTTATCGGCCCCTCAGAATGGTGGTTGGTTACTTCAAGCATCAATTGGTTTGCTTGAAAACGAGGAAGTTAACCAGATGAGAAGATCTATTCTGTGGCGTCCGTAACACCTGGTTCGCATTCTGACAATAGCTCTGGTCGGTGCAAACTTTATATAGAGCATAGAATCGATGTTAATGAAGGCAACCAGCACTATGTAAGAAAGATATAGTCAAGTGAAGCCATGACTAATAAAAACTTATAGTTAATTAATTTTTGGTTCACCAACTTGTGCAGATGTCGCAGGATAATTCGGCCGGCCCGCCATGTTGTCCCCACTTCATAAACACAATAGACCCCCATGGACGTTGATGCCGCAGATGCAAGAGTAGAAGAAATAGCTATGATCTAGCGCTGTTAACTGTTCAATGGATATGATTTTGACGGAGTTTCCTACTCTTAAGGATTAGCTTGTAAATTGGTTGATCAGTCGTGATCCGTGCGTTCAATCCGGTTACTATGTCCCGCGTCACCATACTAATAAGAACAGTACTTGCAAAAATAATGTAAAAAATGAGGAAGAAGTGGAATCAGAACACAAGAGCGTGACTCATTCCTTCATTCAGCCGATCTCGAGATCCCTATCACAGAAACCGACAAACGTCAACCAAAGTTGGCTCTTCGGTGAGTATCTTCATGCCGTCGGGTTTCACGAAATTGGGCTCAGCGTTGTCAAACAACACATCCCGAGGCAACCGCTTGGTTGGCATGCGGAGCAAATGGTTGAGCTACAGAGGCGAATCGAATTCAGTACGCGCCGTGCTGAGGCACCAGAGGGATGTTGCCAATCACAGGATGAAGAAACGCAGTGCTACTTAACCGCTTTTCTCGCCACACACGGTGCAAGCACCTGTGGTCGAAAATGGTCAGCCTCCCTATGAGCTCAATGCGTAGAGACCAGGTCTTTGATCTGTGCCCCAGCCGCAGCGTTGTAAAACCCCGCTAACTGATATACTTACATCCCACCGTCTCCATAAGTTAATGAAGCTCACAAAAAGCATACGAACCTTAGCCATGCGCGTGGCAATGCCCTCGGTGTTATGATCACCACATCTGATGCAATCACTTAAAAAAGCACATCGATCGATCATTTAGAGCGATTGCTCCGTAATTATACCGCCTGTAACAACACTTCGTAGTGTGAAAGTGAAAAGCGCACTAATCTATTCAGCTATGTCGTTCGCGTACTCTAGGCTTGACAATTGGCCATTTGATAAAAAATGGAAGGGAGCCGAGTGAAGTCATTCATGATCAGCACTTGTCGTCGTGATGTCGGGGGAAGTTGTGGCACATCGATTTGGAAAAGAAAATTTTTTCAGGTACAGCCTTCAAAAATAGATGCCGTCATAAACAGGCTGAAGAAAAACTACAATTACAGGAAACTCGTACGTATGGTAACGCACGAACACCCAGTGAAAAATAAAAATGTGATCAGTGCACTCTACTGGAACGGAAACCAGTTTGGCTTCTACTTATTTGCTTCTCACAAATATCAGTTAGCTGCGGAATTGTGATGCATGCCACTAATTTGGAGGTAACGGAGAGAAGAGCGATAACACGATGGTTCTGACATTTTTGAAATTGGAACTAACGACTAACAACCGTCGTCTGGAATGTACTTTGCACCAGTGTTAAACAGAACGGCTAAGTCGTCACTAATGTGTCACCGTCGCTCTCCAGCAGCGACAGTGAAAAGTCGACTCGACCAGGCGCCCTGAATCTCATCAGTTGTTAACAAAGCGCGTCCTAGATGGGCTCAGATAACCAAATTAAAAATTTTGGCGCAGTGGATCGGCAGAATTACTCTTCGAAGTGCTTAGCTCAGCGTCCTATTAAATGCGGCTGAATGAATCAGCTGCCTATCTTCTCACCCATGGCAGCTTTGATTGGATCAGTGTGTCATATCAGTGGGAACAATACTCCGTTGTTCCAGAGGGTCTGGCTGTTTTCTATTCTGTGGGCCCTCGCCATCCATTACTGCTCCTAGTCGATTCACAGACATATAGGCAGATGACGATACAGAGTACAGCGATCAGGTTGGAACTATATTCCGATGGAGCCGTCTTCTGTGCTTTAATCAGCTTAGTCAAATTCCCAGAAATCCATCCACTATACAGGCGCCTTAAGCTAGGTAGGCAAGTGGTCTCTAATGTTTTCTCAAGGGCCAATGAAGACGATCCTAGACAACAATGGGTTTGTCTGCCTCGTTTGAAAGTGACAACACACTGCAATCCAAACTGACACTGATGCCTATTCAGAGCTGTTCCGACACCGCAAATACCGCAAGCCGTGGATTCAGCATTGCCGGAGACGCAAAATGTGTATGTCCAACCTGAGCCGCGTAAGCGCAAATGAAGTAGAGTTCTCTTGTTTTGTATGATTTCTTGGAACAGCACTCACCAACCGTGACCGGGTGCATAGTCTTACTGATTGCAGCCTGTTGGTTGATGTTGTAGCGTGTGAATATTGAGAGAACCAAAGTAGAGTGGTGCCTTGGTTTTGATAGATGAACTGGCAAGTATGGATTGCTAGAAAATTAGAGAAAGGGGTGAGTCTGCCCATTCCAAGAGAGGGGCTTGTTCAAGGTGACTCACATAGCAACGGGTTAAATGGAGGTCTATTTGAGGAGCCGGCGAGGCTCAACGGTTGTTGAACTGGCGGATCTATCGATCTCTATAAGGGGCATTGAGGGTGTAATTTCGGACTGATGGACACCAACCGTTATCCCCAAATGCAAAAGCACAACATAGCGTCTTGTGGGGATCATCGAGGCATCAGCTTTGATTGTAATTACCTCCAAACTGCTCTCCTGCAATATAATGCAGTGATCGACTGGTCCTTAAGGAAGTCGACTCGATGAAAGCCAGAGAAAACATACTACGGCGGTTCTCATTAGTTTGAAGATAGTCGCCGATTCAGTCGATCGTCATATAATGGAAATCCCTTTTTAATCTGAAACCACTTTACCCATATTATTAAAAAGGGAGGGGTGCGAAAAATGATTTCCTGAGTTTGGCACGCTAAATCACTGCAGTCTCGTTATCAAGTTAATCACGGGCAACTCTGCCCCATGTCCTGCAAGATGACAGACCAACAAAGCTTGGATATCCAAACGGTACAGCTACTTTGAGATCGGAGCAGGCAGGTGGATAATAACTTTAAGGTAGGCCGACGCGGATTTCTGCAAGCTCCAGAATACTTACCGCCATTATAGTGTAATATGTCTAGGTAGAGCTGCAACGATACGGCTCCTGTTCTCACAAATACCATATACTCACTCGGAGTGTTTGACAGGTTAGCTAGTGTGGGTAGTAATATCACCGGCACAAAAGTTGCCATTCGCATTGAAAGGAATCCCATGATATTCAAATTTTCCGTTACAGAGATAGTGTGATTTGTTCTTCTATCAAAGGTCAAGTGTACAGCCATGCATTGAGACAAGTGTTGCTGTATGGAGTAGTGACGGACACTGCACTCTGACGACACTCATATTGAACGTCTTTGACTGCCGGTGCTCGCAGCATCTAAGGTATCTGGTGCGACCACTAAGCGAATACAGTTGGTGTCCGCCAGTGGGTGTTTACACATAAACCACTCGGGGTGTGTTCTGAAACTAAGCTGTCTACAACAATCGAGTTACGCTCAGTGAGTGTCAGTCGATCGCTTACGTCGGTGTGTGCCATTTTACAAAACCACACGTTGGTCATCGAAAGCTTAAGATGATGAGGCGACCAGAGGTCAAAAGGACGCCGGCGAATAGGCTGTTTTCACAGTCTTCGTTGATAGAACCCTTCGAAAGGATGCAGCAGCGATGCTTCTGCATTAAGTGCGCCGCATTCACTAGTTATTTCTCCCGTCTAACGACCGCACCTCATTACTTCAAATTAGTGTTTGCGCCTGTGATTTCTGCTCCTCAATGTTAATCAGCTGTTTTAAAGTATTATCATGGAGACACGGTCAAATGGGAGTGCGCATCTGTCGCGCTTCGGCATATGGGTAATGGTTAAGTACTAGATTGCAAAACCACCCCCAGTTAACCAGTGACGTATTATTCTAGCATTCCATCCGTAGAAAAAAAACGCCCACACTTCGACTGGGTATTCCTACTACTGATTGTGTCTAATGTCCACAAAACACGGCCGGCGAAATGCGGGTAATGGTGTAGTTAAGTGTTCCAATCCGGCGCGACAAGGGCGTTTTTACCAAGACCGACTATGAAGCGCAAGCGTTTATGGGGTGAAAGATTCGGACACGAGTGAAGAGTGTGCAACAATAAAGCTTCAGACCTCACCTGATCCAATAAAAACAATGTGTTAGCTATTTCGACGATGTCGTCAATTTTGACGATGCAGTCCAGATGCACGCAATTCGTCACATCGTACATCAATAGGGTTCCGAGTACGTGAGTTGCTTCAACCAACAACTGTCGGAATTCGGGAGTGGACACCATCGTATTGACGCGCTCCACAGCCAGAGCGAATTTGTGCTCCTCCATCGTCATCTGAAAGTGAGATAAAGCAGAGGATTAACAAAGGTCGTCAAGCTCGCATCAGAAACAACCAGGGGGAAGCAATCCAATGGATCTCCTGTCGCCCGAACCCAAAGGACGCGCAGCGCAACACTGATGATGTGAAGGTGTGCGCAAGTTAGAACTAATTACAGTCGCTCAGCGAGAACTGTTTTAACAGAACCCACCGATTGAACTTATTCGACGCATAATACACGCAATTGTATTCTTTCAGTATGAAGATTCTTTTAAAAACAAACCGAGTCAACCATGGGCAACATACCAGCTCGTGAGATCCGATTGTTCGCTTGGCCTGGATACAAACATACAACAATTGTTGAGGATGATTTGAAGTGCGTGTCAGCCACCGCCGGTTCAATAAGTGCCCAACGTAATCGCGTATAAATTCGAACCAGTCGCCATCCTTTCATTAACTAGGTATCATAGTGAAGTGCGTTCAGCATTCACGATCTCCGTAAATGCATGATCCGCTAGTGTGTTGTGTTGGCTGATAAATAACCACTTGAACGTGGGATCAAACGCTTGGGCCTTTCGATCACAAAACACTAAGCAAAGATGGAATCAGGATGAGTGTGATTCTGAAAATTCATCCATTTTGCTTGATTGTGATAGTTCAGAATAAACGGTTCAAAGTATTTTTTGTGAAGCGCAGTGTAAGAAATTCCGACACGAAAGCGGCTTATCTAGCGAATATCGATCCAATAATACCCGTCACTCAAACACAAGCAATCGTGATAAGATTGCACGCTAGACTGGCCGTTAGCGTTTTCACGCTATCCACTGTAGGTATATCGATTTTGTGGGAATATTTTAACAAATTATTTTGCTAAGCTATTTCGAAGGAACTATCTTACTACGTCCATCAAAATTCTGCACGCAATTCGTGATCTGCTGCGTCCAGCAGCAAAAAACGTTTTGGAAGAACGTTGCCCTGGCAAATGAATACAAACCCCTATAACTATCCAACAATGTGCGTTCGGTGCCCTTGGACGCGGAATTGTTTTTTCGAACGACAAAATTCTATCTTTGGTGTGAGGCCACTTTAGTCCAGCAGATATATAAAGCTTGTCTTGACTTGACATATACTACAATTCGTAGATTCCATCCTTCGGTGCTAGCTACTGCTAGCCTGCTGGTACCCATCCGTCCCACTGACGATAAGATACACCTTATATGACCTGTTCGATATTTACCAAATCCGCCAGTAGTATATACAAATGAAAGCAGGCGCACTTTCTTTCGCCCAAGACTTTCGTTCATTAAGTTCAGGGGGGTGATATCTTCTCTATGATCACGGAACACCGTATGTTCGTTTCCCAACTACACATGACGCATCGGTTCGTAGAAAGTTGGGCAAAAGCTAAACATCGGATGCCAACGTTGATAGTTCACAACAATAGGACATATGGGGTATATCGGTCCACAAGTTATTGTTACGGCAACTATAATGTTATTGATGACCAGTTGCCCGTCGATATAAGACGTTTGGTGTGAGGTTCAACGTGAGATCTGGTTCGTCTATGCATACGGGACTGTTGCTTGTAGTGAACGTGTTCTGGGCATCTAAATTCAAAAAAGAAGAAGAAGAAGGATTTTGCTTTCACGCGAAGCTACATCATACATTTGTCAACACATCGAAGGGCTGGCATGTCGCATTGCTGCTTCGCGGCCACTAAATTACAGCTAGTCGTGTGCGAGTTATGGATAATGCGAGGTCGCCCACATTTACTCAGATTCCAACTGTCGATTTACAAATCACAAGACGAATGCTGCTACAGGGCTGGCACAGCCCTGCCAAACTCAACGGAGTTCACCGGCACCAGTGTAGTATCGAACCTGAACAAAACAGTCGCTGTGCAGAGACCCAAACTACTCAGTCCAGTGTGGGGCTCTTTCAACGGAAACTGCTGCCAAGGGTCCACTCACAACGGAGTTGTCCTCAGTGAGAACATGGCTAACGCATCACGCACAGTTTCCACTAAACTCGCCCCAATCTCCCTATCGTATCTCCCAGACTCTGCTTAAGTTAACAGCCTGCCTCCTGAGCCGTGTTCATGCCAGTGCCTCAGCTAGCCAGCACACTCACCAAATGTGATGTGCCCAACGTCTCAACAGCACTGAACCCACCCCATCTCTGCTCGGAGGTAGAACCTCTACAAGGCAACTCATGTGCCAACAAACATACGCCTTCCCTTATACTTTGACAATTACTACTGTTTAACGAACTACAAATATGAAGGTGTGGAAAGCACGGTAGCCTTGGTTGAGTCGATAAAAGCACTCTTACTATTGACCAGTCTTCTTTCTGCAGGTCTCGGTATAGTTGTGCGGCGTTTACGCGTTCCGTCTGCCTTCTTAGTTACGAGTTTACGTCTGCCGGCTAAGTTCAATAGCAGTTCCAGTTCGAATCGTCTAGGCTACTACTCTGTGCGTGGGAACCAACGTGTGATAGAGTTCGTCCATTCCGACTAGGACAGTCGAAAGTCAACTAGGACGTTTATAACAAATGCAAATGGCGGAACCTTTAAAGCTGCCGTTGTCCTTTTCGCCGAACAGCATTTTTACATTTTTTACTGTATATATCTCAGTATTGTACGATTACACTGAGAGATATGTGAAATAAACTTCCAAGGTCACTGAGACCCTTTACTCTATCCAAAATTGAATATACACGCGAGATACCGCGTACGATCTTCGAGCACAAAATTTTACTTTAATTGAAACGAAATCTGAAGAAACATTTTTATGAAACCTTTTCCGTTTTTAATGGATACAAATCCCGAAGATTTAGGCCAGCATTTTAGGATCGCTGGGCGATCGATCAATGAAAGTGAATCTTCAATTTTCTACGCATTTGCAAAACTAACATTTCTAATAGTAACCCCTACGTAAACTTACAACTGAAAAAGGTAAAATGCTGAAAATGCATCCTTTGGGGCACATAAAACTTATACTGACTGACTTGAAATTGACTTGAACCGGCCGCCGGCTGTTTCTAAGTGAGATTACTACACGGTAGTCGAATTTCCCTTCAGGAACAAGCGACACTCTCATCCCGTCGCTAACAAAGATTGACCAGCGATGATGTCGTAACGCGAGTCACTTGCGACTTTTCCATTCTTATTGTATCGCTGGGGCCGCATCTTCGACATGTAACAATGATCACTCATTAACCACCAACATTTGTTGCGCTTATTCTCACAGTTTGCTAAAATGCCACGCTAATTACGTACTGGAACACTTTGTCAGAGGAAGCTTTCCTGTCAAAAGCGATATGTTGTCCACAAAATATACCAACCGATTGTGTCCAACTCCTTATGAACTCAATTTGTCGATGGGTTCCAAGCGCCTTTCACGACGTTGAAGCAAGTGCTTACAGAAACGCTGAGATATATCCGGAGACCTTTGGGGACACCGGCATAGCAGGACTCACCTCTGTAAGGCTGACTTGGAGTGAGTCTTTCCCGCGGATAGTCCACAACGGACGAACGGAGTGCAATTTGCTACACTTCGTAAACTCCTCCATTTCCACCAGTAATACGGAAATTATTCGGGGCGCTAGTGAACATATTTTACCGAATGCTGGCCGCAAATTGAGACGCATGACCTAGAGTTGGCAGCTCGGCAATACTATCCGACGGCGAAAATGAACCGATTCATTCTCTAGAACAAATAGAAGGTGTACAACGTGCACCGATGTTCAAGGGCAAAAATAGATTCCGTGCGAATGCAGTTCCCCTCATTATTATCTTCAGTTAAACCACACATAACGATCTCGCTGAAACGTGTTAAATTTTCGACCCTCACCGTGGTTGTTTTCACGCTTGCTATGGGTTAGTTTTCAATGACCCCACCGTTCTTTACAAACGACTTGCTAAACCGGGTAAACTCTGTTCGCAGTAAAAACTGATCAACTCTGAAACTGTTACTACAGGCCGCAATAATGTACCAGATATCCTGTTCAGATTAGGTTGACAAGGTAATTAGATTGTGTTCTCAACACTGCGCTCTAGATTTGTGCACAAAAATTGGAGATGTATTGCTGTCAATCTCACATACAGTGGAGATAGCTTGGATAACAAAAGTATTGGCGCACTGGCATCGTTGTCCCATCATATATAGAGTAATGAAGAGGGTCATTTAAAGAGCGTCATTCGATTGTTCTCACCGCTAATAGATTTCTATAGGTAGACTATGCAATACCTATATTAGTAGGGTGGTAGTAGATCGAGCCATGAAATTAGCGATCATATTCGCGACACGCTGTGCGATATACAGGCACCTTTTCGTTAGCATGATTTTCGGTGTGACATGCGGAAAATGACAGTTGCTAGCAATGCGGACTACTCTGTGTCGAATATGATGCAAATGTGTGCGTTAAATATACTCTAGTTTCAGTGGTATTTCGTCACAGCCCCCACTCAGTCAGCAGACATGGACACATATGGAAAAGCACCAGGCAGTTGTTTCGACCTTCTGCGTCTTGTCAGTGATGCGTCTCTCTCGGAAACCCCGCCGGATTTCGACCCCATGACTTCCAGAAGCCAGCAGCTTGTGCCAGGCAGGGGTCCGAAGAAGGCGCACCAGTGACGAGACTCAGAAGGTCGAAAAATCTGTCTGGTATTTTTCTGGACGTGTCGAAGTCAGATGACTGAGAGGGGACTGCGAAGAAACACTTCTGAAATTATGCCGAAATTCCCACTACTCATGAATATGCTAGTTTGTTGCATGGTATGAAATGTCGGAGAGAACTGCTCCACCTTTCTCGACTTCCCACAACGGTCAGTCTATGCTTCCGACCAAATGATCCGAAAAATTTTTTTGAAGCTGATGCTTGTTCGATACACGAACTTTGTACACTGAGACTGTATTTAAAAACAAGTAGAAAGGTTTCTGTACAACTCTATAGAATTACGAAAAATCAAAAACAATTAATTGTGAATCACCAGCGGTTGTGTCTGGTCCGTTAATCG